CTACTTCCAGTGTACTTCATGGACAAGGTCAAGGCTGACAGCCTGCTCAAATGAGGTGCCAGACAGAGAGCCTTATAGGCGCTTGTTTTCCACCAGGAAGGTAAAAGGTGTGTGTTTGTGAAGAGAAATTGGAAGGAAGATGTGGTTTTGTTGGCTAAGATGATGTGGTGCATGGATATTTCCCAGTGAGTATATCTAATAATATTTAGAATGAAGACATTTCAGTTTTATGGAAAAGAGGCTTCAATTGGCATTGTGTCTCAGAAGGAGACCACAGCTTCTGGGGACCCCCAGGGGGTTCTGAGCCTTTAATACTTGATCTGAGAGCTCAGTCAGAAGCAGCGGTGAAGGTCTTTGTGCTTGAAGCACTCACTTGGGGGGTGGGAAGGCACTGTCCGGGCCTCTGGGCCAGGAGGGAACTTCTCTCAGCGGAGAACGGCCTCTGTGTGCTGCTGAGATCCTGGACAATGCCAAAAGGGGTCTCTTCGGGCCTTCTGGGCTGGCTCCTGGTGACAAGTACCTCTTCCCTCTTGGTGGGCTGGGCTCAGGGTGTGCCGAGCTGAAGGCTACGTCTGCAGTCTCAGACTATTTTAAATCACAAGAAGGCCTTGACCTTCATGAGGCTCTGGGCTCTGCTGCCCCAGTTCCCTCTGGACTCGGGAAAGGGCACCTGCAGCAGGCTGATGCTCAGGCCCCACCTGTCAGGCCTAACGGGTGGCTCCTCAGGAGGCCTAACTCTGCGAGGAAGACCTGCACAGACACCTTGCTTTTATAACAGATGCCATTTCTTTGCTGGAAACCTGTCATTTTTCTTCGTTCTCTGAACTTTTGAAGCTCTGGGAGAGAGGAGGAGGTGTGAGTCCCTGATGTGAGGAGCTGAAATGAGCCTAGTGCCCCTATTTTTTTCCCCCATAGTTCACTTTCAACCCCCATAGAGGCTTAGGCCTTTTTTTTTTTTCTTTGCTAGACTCATTCAGTTAACAAATCCTTGCAGTTTTTATCACCCTTAAAAAGTCTCAAGAGAACTTTGACCCCCTAGCCTTTAGATTTCCTTAAAGGCCCTTTCAAGGTGCAGCTTTTTTCTGGGCCTCCCAGCTTCGTGGCCTTTGCCCAGCACTGCCAGTGAGATGAAACCTATATGTGGTGAGCTCGCTTTTTAGCAAAAAGCAAGTCTTGGGCATTGAATCCCAGAGCTGGAGGAATCCTAGAACTAAGGCATCAGGTGATCTCTCCCTTTACAGACCAAGAATTCGAGGTCAGGAGACGGAAAGTGCTGGATCACAGGTACTTACAGACGAGAGCTGCGAGTCCTGGCTTCCTGTCAGCACGCCAGTGGTGGAGTTGAGGGGGCTCAGTCAGCCCCCTGCAAACATTCAGCCTGTGCCAAAACAGGCCAGTGTGTCCCTGTAAGACAAGCCTCAGAGCACAATGTACCCCCCAGCAGGCTCTGCTTCCTAGGGAGCAATCTGGAGCCCCTGACCTCAGAGCACGTGGCCCCAGCCTCTGCTGGCGTTGAGGGTCAGCCGACTAGCCAGTATGATGTGGTGACTGGGGCCAGCCCCCCACTAGGGGGCACTGTCCTGCCCCAGTGCTGAGGCTCTGCAGCCTCCCACTAGCTTTCACTTTGGCTGCCTTGGCCGCAACTGAGAGTGAAAAGAGTTAGCATTCAGGAGCGGGGCAGAGTCTGTGGTGTGTTCTAATGGAGGCTGTGAGGGCACAGATAATCCCCAAGCCATTTCCAAGTGGCTGTGGGTCAGGCTCCCATCTCCCCCAGCTCGCCCTTCTCTGGACATGCATTGGGCTTCCTGACTGTCTTCCCGAGCTGTGCCTGCTGCTGATATCAGCCTTATGGGAGCTGGGGTCAGTCTTCCAGTCTCGGCTCAAAGGCCGTGTCCTCCATCACGTGTTGCTTCTTGTGGGTTCTGCTGGGCACTTGGCTTTTCTAGCCTCCTGTGGACGTGAGGACACCTTTCCCTACCTTCTGCCTTCCAGGCAGTACACGATTAGACAGAATCTCAGCACAGTGTCACAGAGAGTGTACTGGTCCTATTTTACAAATAGAGAAATGGAGGCTCCGAGAAGTCATAATTTGTCAGAAGTTATGGCTGGCAGAGCTGGGAGAGCACTCAAAACCCCCCTCAACCCCCAGCTGCATGTCTTCTGACTAGAGTGACTCCCTTGAGGTAGGGCCTGGCCCAGCCCATGCCCAATACCCAGTAAGTGTTTGTGAGATGGATGAATTGGTGGATTAATTAAGCATGCAGTGCCCCTTGTTCTATGCAAACCTGAGAGAAGAACTTGAAAGCTGTTTTTAGACTAAGCCAGGGCACTGTGTTCTGTCCAGTGCCTTTGCTCAGTGCCTGGTGATGTGAATGCACAGGGACTGTTAGAAGGCAGCGTGAAGAGTAGTGCCTGCCTTCCAGGAGTACCTCAGATGGGCCTGGGCTCAGGGACCCAAAGGTCCTGTGCAGGGGGCAGGGCCTAACCGGAGCCCTAGAAACAACGCTGGACACAACTGTCAGCACAGCTTTCGTTCTGTGATCACTAGTCTTGGTACGTGAGGGTTTACTAGGCATCAAGGGGAACTTAACCCTCATTTATAAAAGAGCTTCTGTGGGAAAAGGAACCTCAGGGGAATGTAGGTTACCCGCTTTCTAGCTGAATATACAGTAACCTTTGTTTGCTTTACAAACACAGTCTCATAACCCTTAAGAGAACTTTGCAAACAAGATTCTCTAGCTATCCCAATATACAGGTAAGAAAGCTGAGGTTTGAAGAGGGCTGACCTGCCCTTGGTCAGAGAAGAGCTAGAAACCAGGTCCTGTTTTTCCCCCAGACTAAACCACCAACTTAGGGCAAACAAGACCTCTGGGAATTGGGGCTTATCAGAGATGATGAAAGCAAAGCCATGGGGTTTAAGTGGCTCTGCTTTAAACAAACATTTAAGTCCCTGGAAGCCTGAGCTTTCTTTCAACATTGTTTGCAGTAGTGGCTGAAAAATTAATTTCCTGCAAAGCCTCTCTCCAGAGTTCAGAGCAAGGGTGGGTAAACTAGAAAATCACCCAGAGGACGCCTGGGTCTCACAGGCTAGTAGTAGGCCCTCGCGTTCCACTGCAGCTGGTGGCCTGGCAGGGCTGGCTTTCCCCACACAAGGATGAGGAAGGATTATGCCGGTCCAGGGTCGGTGCGGTTACCGGTTTCTGGGCTAAGGGGTGGTCTAACCAGGGGCCCAGGGGCAGCAACTGAGGCCTTCGGCAGTTGGGTTTGGAGGGGTTTGGGCGAGGTAGGGTGCTGTTTGCCTGCCCACAGGCTCTGCCTAGAGAAGTTTCAGCCCCTCTGGGCCTTCACCGTCATCTTCTTGGGGCCCTGGCACCTGCTGGAGGTGGCCTGAGTGGGGGATCTCCACCTCTCGTTTCATCGTCATAATAACCTCTGAGGCCTGGGTGAGGCCCCTCTTCTCCCTTATTTTTCTCATCACCTCTCCTGCTTACCTTTCCTTCTCACTCTGTTCCAGCCATAACACACCAGCCATGCTCCTCGTCTGGGGCCTTTGCGCTGGAGGCTTGTTGCCTCTTGTCTGGAATATTTTCCTCCAGACTCTGCACCGTTCTCTCCCCCACTTCCTTTCTCAAATGCCTCCTTCTCAATGGGGCTTACATTGGTCGACCTCTTTTAAGTTGCTTTTTCCTTTCCAGCAATTCCCAAATATCCTCTCACCCTGTATTTTCCCTCTTCCCCAGTACTTATCTCCTTATACACCAATTACTTACTGTCTCTTCCCCCAGTAAAACATAAGCTCCATGAGAATGTCTTTTTTTCCTTGCTGTTTCCCCAATATTGGAGCAACGAATTAAGGAACCCATGTGTGTGGTCAGGCCTCTCAAGATGGCTGTTCTCTTGCTCTCTTTACATCCCCTGCCTGACCAGTGCCTGTTTCACCTAAACCTTACACACATGACTGATCTTCCTTTGTTCTTGTCCCAGGCCCCAGCTGAGGCTGTTCTTATCAAAGGGGTGGTGAGGGGCGTGCCTTTCCATTGGTTTCCCTCGTAACTAATGAGCTCACCTGACATCAATTCCCCTATAACCGGTAATCTCCCCTCCCCCCCACCAAGCGAAGACTGCCACCATGTCCTGCCCACCATCAGCTGCGCACAGTGGGGCGTCACTCCAGGGCCTTGCTTCAGACACGTAAGATTCCTCCATCCATTAAACCATTGATGTCTCTGCTGCTGACTCTGGGCTCCTTCTTCAGTCTTAAAGCTGGACAAATGCAGGTCTTGCAGGCCTGTGGCGTGCAGCCCAGTGAGTAGGCATCAACAGCCCCTTTCACAAAGAAGAAACACCTGGCCTCAGGTGATTAAAGGGCCTTGATCTCAGCTGGTGATGGGAGGAGCCAGGGTGTGAGTATCACCCATTACTCCACCATTCTCCCTCCTTTCCCCACTTACCCGAAGTTTTCCCCGTGTACCTAGAACTGGGAGGCTGCAGGATGGCTGAGAGCCCTTCCTTTGGTGGCTAAAGGTGGGGTACCAGTGACTAAAGCCCTGAAGTTGAACTCCAGGCGTGCGCCCACGTTCAGCAAATATAGCAGGTAAAAATTTAACTTTGCATTGCCTTTTAATGGCTTCGTTAACCAAGGATTTAACCAGGTCTGCTGCTTTTATGTCTTTACTTTGGGTTTTTCCAATGATTGTTTCCCTTTATGATGGGAGAACGGTATAAAATAAGGATAACAATCCAGTTTATGAAAGAATCACAGCAACAAGCGAATTTTCTAGAATCGCGTTTGCAGTCACTGCTAGGAATGCATCTGCCAGATGAAAGGCTACCGGGCTCGGGGGGTGGGTGGGGTGGGTGGGGGGGGCGGCGCGGAGCAAAGCCTCTAGGTAACCCGTTCGATGGCTCTCTAGCGCCCGGCGCCCGGGGTGCCTCCCCTCCTCCCGCTGGTGCAGCACGGAGACGCGCCCCCGGGTAGCTCCGAGCGGCCACGCCTCCCCACGGCTGTTATTTAGACACCCCCCCCCCCAACTGCAACCTCAGCCGGGGAGTATGGGCTAAGGGCTCCCGCGCAGCGCCAGGCGGAGAACCGGGTGCTTAGGGGAGACAGGGAAGGGTGCTGGTGTTTAGTGAGGAACACCAGAGTGTTTTTCAAGCATCTGGCCATCAAATCTTGCACTGAGCCAATGTATAAAATCGTAATGTGCGGGAGGCGCTCGTATCCCCGTCTTGGCTGAGGATGTGGCGGCTGTCTAGGGGCTGTTGTTCAATGCAGGCCACTCCTCCCGCCCGGAGGCCCAGGGCCGGTGTCCCAGACACGGCCCGCCCGGCCTAGCGCAGAAGCTGCTTGCGGAGGGCAGCGCCGGGCGAACGCAGGCCGCGCGGGAACTGATCGGGGATCATGGCCGCGCTGTGTTCGGCGCGCAGAGTCAGGCGCGGGCACGCGGCGCGCAGGCGGCGCAGGCCGGCCGCGCTCACGTTGCGGCAGAAGTCCACGTGCAGCGTCTGCAGCGCCCGCCCGTGCGCCGCCACGGCCGTCAGCGTGCGGTTGGTGACGCGCGCGCAGTTCTCCAGGCGCAGCGCGCGCAGGCGCGGGCAGGAGCGCAGCAGACGCGCCAGGCAGTCGTCGGTGACGTGGCCGCAGCCCGACAGCGTGACGGATGCCAGGTTGGGGCACCTGCGGAGAGAACGCGGTGACCACGGGCCGGGGCCGAGGAGGGTGCGGTTAGCGTGCTAGCGTGCGGCCGCCCCCGGTCACGCCCCTTAGCTCCCTGGTTGGTCCCCGTGCCAACTCTGGGAGACCGGGCAGGCCCTCCCGCTTTAAAGAGGAAGAACGGGCCCAGAGAGTTTCGGGCACTTGCCCGCGGTGACACGCCGGGATCTGAACCGGGGCTTCTGTCCCATGTCCCCTGTTCTTTCTGCCACTCCACCCCACCTTACTTTAATCTGCCTGGGCTCTTAGTCCCAGGAGCCCAAGCCCCGGCCCTGCTGTGGACATAGGCGATGCTGGTTCCAAGGAGGGTCGGCTATGGTTTTTTTGGTTCTTTCAGACTCGTTGCCTTGGGTGGGGGTGAGGAAAGCGGTGCAGAGTGACCGCTCCAGTCTAGCTTCAAGCTGAGGCCCTGATGCTCCTGGCAGGACGGTGCAGAGAGGAAGGGTTTCCTGTGGGATGGCTTAGAGTCAGGCCCATTCCAACCCGTGAGGCCATCGGGGCACGCCTCTTGAGTATTCGCTCTGAGTTCTAGAGCCTTGGTTTCAGCTCAGTTGACTGAGGCAGTTACTGTATCTCCAGTGGGATGCCAGCCTGTCACAGGCCAGGATCTGGAGGTAGCTAGACCCAGGCCTGAGGTGGGTACAATCAGGGATACAGGTAGCTTGTCCAGAAAGCTTTGGGGGCGGGGGGGGGGGGGGCTCTCTGCCCCAACCTTACCAGCACCTGCTGGGGGAAAAGATTTGAGCAAAGTTGGCTTATTTGCGCCATGACCTTGATTAAGTCACTCGCTGAGCTTTAGTTTACCTGGGGGAGTGTGTTGGGAGTGGGTGGCAGGGAGGGAATAATGCCTACCAGTGGGGCTGCTGTGATGATTAAGCGAGATTTGGGGTATCTGGAACCTGTACAGGACCTTCCGTAGGCCATCATAACCCATGTTTCCTGGGAGCAGGCAGGACCAGACTGCTTCCAGTCCAGAAGGACCTGTCTCAGCGGTGCAGGCCTTGGCTTCCTGTAGCCAGAGGGAGCTGGAGTCGGGCCACAGGGGGTTTCCCTCTCCCCATCAGCCTCCCCCGTTGCCCCTTGACTGCACCTGCCTGGGCCAGCTCAGCTCCCTTGTCCCTGAGCAAGGAGGTGAGGAACTAAAAGACTGGTCATGGCCACATCCACACGCCAAGTGCATCCTGTCTTCCCAAGTCCACACAACTTCCTAAGTCTTCGTATCAACCTTACACCCCCAATTTCATGAATGAGGAAACTGGCTAAGGGAGCTCAAGTGACTTGCCTGTGACATATTTGCTGTGTGACCCAGGACAAATGTCTGAACCTTGCTGGGCCACCTCCTCATCTGTCAGGCAGAGAAACTGTTAACTTTCAGGGTGGTGATAAGGATTAGGTAGGGGCTTAAGCCCCAGGGCTGTTAAATGATCCCTTCCTCTAAGAACCTTTAAAATAACCCTGATGCAGGAAGAAACCAGAGAAAGAAAAAGCCAGCTCCTTCCCTGCCCAGCCATCCTCAGCTTTCCTCTCACAACCCCTCTCCCCATCTGATTGCCAGATGTAGATTTGGTGCATACTTATCGATACCTACTATGTGCCAGTGCTGCTGTGTCATTTAATCCTTTCAGCATGTGAGATAAGGTAGTTTATCCCATTTTACAGATAAAGAAATGAGGTTGAAAGTGTTTAAATATTTGGGCTGGGGTCACATGGTTGGACAGTAGCAGAAGTGGGGGGACTCAGCCCCGAGCCCTTTGCTTTTTTGGTGACACTGGGGACCCTTGCTGTACCTAGACAGTGGCCTTGGAGGTCCAGTCCACACCTTGCTGGTTTGAGGGATTAAACCTGGTTCCCCTACAACAAGAATGCAGCAGATCTGGGGCAAGCTTTTCACCCCATACATATCGCCCTCCAGTCTGATTTCTGGGCCTTGTTAAACTCATCAAAATGTCATGGTCCCATCAGGGACCAGCCCCAAGTCCATCTTCTGTTTTCTTCTCTTGCCTTAAAAAAAAAAAAAAAAAAAAGTGGGGCGAGGCCACTACACTATTTCCTCCCATTCCTTGTTGGGCTGCCAGAATATAGCAGCTGTTAGACTTGGGTGGCAGCAAGCTGACTGAACGTAGTTTGTTAGTAAACAAGGGGGTGTCTTTCCTCAAAGGCTAGGACAGGACTGGTAAAGTCTCAGTGAGAGTCTGTTCTTGCATGGACTGCTCTAGGCAGGAGGCTGTGACTGTGAAGGGAGTCTCACCCATGGCTAAGCCTCTGTGGGGTTGACAGGTCAAATACAGGATGTATTTGGGACAGGCACCAAAAAAAGTATTCCATCTATCTGAAATTCAAATTTCTCTGGGTCTTTTGAATTTTTATTTGCTAATATCTGGCAATCCTAGACCAGGGCAAGTCACACAACCTGTCATGAGTTCTGGTTTGCTCATTTGAAACTTAGGCTAAAACACTCTCTCCTTCAGGTACCGTGAAGATTAGTGAGTTTCTAATAAGGAAACCATTATCACCACCCCTACTTCTGGAGCCTGACTTGGTCAGCTAACCCAGAGCTGAGCACCCTAACTCTCCTTCCTCAGCCGCATTTCACAGGTCTTGGGGTTTGCTTGCTAGGGGCAAATCGGAGGGGTGAGCTGATTGCTGAATCTAGAAACCTCTTCCTGGAGCCTGACCTTGAAAATGAAGGCCCAGCTGGACCTACCCAGCACTTAACGGCTGCCAGGGAAGACAGCCGCCTGAAACACAGGGACAGCTGAAGCCAAGTTTGTCCTCTTTGCCGAAGCAGCTCTAAGACCCGTGAGGCTAAGAGGAGGATTGGTGCCCGTTTCCCCCAGGATTTTATCCATCTTCTGGGGACTGCGCAGTGGGCAGGCCTGGAGGGTCTAAGCCTTGGGCCTAGTCTGAGGCTCCCCGAAGCAAAGCCGTCTTGCTCTTGTAATTTGCTCTTCCCTGACCCCCGGAAACCTCCCAGAGCTCTGGATGCCAGCGCTGCTCAGAGGCGGCCTACCTGTCGCACACCTGGAGGAGGAAATCACTGACTAGGCTCTCGTGCCGGCTGCAGATGCTCCTCTGGAGGGCGCTCTTGAGCCAGTCCTCGATGCTGCACACCTGCACGCGGCTGGAGTGCCAGCAGATGGAGAGGCTCCTGAGCGCCGGGCTCAGGAGGAAGTTGTCCTTCTTGAGTTCTGTGAGGGAACGGAAGTGCAGCAGGGGCCACAGTGCGGGGTCCTCAAACACGTCCTGGAGCTGGGAGCAGGTCCTGGCAAGGTTCTTCCTGCTGTCCTTGTCCAGAAAGGAGAAGAGGTGTAGCAGGCACTCGCGGTTGAGCTGGGTGATGTGCATGGTGCACAGCAGCCACAGAGTGTGGCTGGAGCCCGGGGTCCTGACCTACCTCCTGCTCCTCCTCCCCAGCTCTGGGCTGGTGGACATATATGGTTGAGGAATGGTGTTTATTTTTGGCCAACAACTGGTGCTGCTGCTCTGAAGAGGCGGGGAAGCCCAGACCCAGACACACGTGCAGCAGTCCGTGGCTCGGCTTATGTTCCGAGGAATTGAAAATCCTGGCAGAAAAGCAGCGTATTGAAATTAAATAGCTTCCTTAAAAGGGATTTCTTTCCTTTTAGCTGACCGTGGTGTTAGGCGGAGAGCTCTTTTGGCATTTTCATTTGTGGTGCTGGCTGGACCACCTGTCTGGGCGTGCAGTCTCTACTCACTGGGAGGGACTCTAATTGTAAATAGGATCTGTTTTTGTTTCCTAGGACATCAATATGAGTCTTTTGCTCTCCTCTTAGTAGGAAGAAGCCTGCTGTCTATGAAGAGCTAAGGGTGACGGTTTTGTGCTCAGAGGCGTAAGCAGAAGCCATGGGTGACGCTTTCCTCTGTCACTTTGTTCAGTAGTGATGGTTTCCAGGCTGAGCTACCTTCAAATCCTGTTGCTCTCCTCCAGGTGCAGGGATTTCTTTGGTCTCCCAGTTGGCTGTATTTTTACCCTGAGCTTTTCCATAAAAGATTTGTCTTAAGTAGCTTCTCTCTCCAAGGTTCTTCTGTGTGTGTCACGTTTTAAACTTAAGTTTACTTGGCTTTACATTTTTCCAGATATGTGTCCCGCTGTATCTAGTCTGTATTTCCCCAAATGTCAGGATGGATGAGGTAGCTCTTAATACAAAACTGCTTGAAACAATTTTAAGTTGAAGTATTTTACTCTTTTGCCCTTTAAGCCTGCCACACACCATCCTCCTTGTGAGGGATGCTTTTAGTTCCTGGAATTAAGCTGCTAGGCAGGTTGCCTGGAGGTTGTTCATTAAGTTCTCCCTTCCTAAAGTAACTGAGATTTCTCAGTCCATGGATCCATTTTCTAATACTGCTTCACTCCCAATCATTCACCGGACCCTACCGCATTTCCCCTCCTGTGAACTCCTAGCTCTGTGTACTGGTTGGTTGGTTGGTTTGTGGGCTACAGTAGTGAGATGAACCATTTTTCCTCTGCTGGACCAGGGAACACCACCTCAGTGGTTACCTTTGTCCCTTTCCCCACATAATTAGAATGGGAAGGAATGGGAATACTTTGTTTCCACTTGCGTGGAGTAACACAGATGAGGCACATGTGGCGGATCCTCTTCGGGAACTAAGGCTCGATCAGACCTGGTGCAGCTTTGCCTGTAAAAGCAGAATGCAGCCTAGAGGAGAAAGCAGGCATTCTAGCCAGCACCCTGGCTCTGAGGAGCCGGTCTCAATGGTCCCCTGTGCCTCAGGCACCCCGCCACTGCCAAGGTAAAGTGGAAGGGGTGACTTTCCTTAAAAACAACATGAACCAATAAACAGCCAAAAGGAAGATGTGTTTCTCAAGGAAAGGTTAACTAGGAACTGCTCATATTTCAAGCTAATCATTTTAATTGTTCAAATTACAGCTGGCAGCCAGAGTCCCTCTTTGGGCTCTAGCTACACTCACCCACTGAAACGGTACTGCTGCACCAGAGGTGGATTTACTAGAAAGCCTTATTATCCCCACTTTCCCTCCCAAATCCTTTCCAAACCAGTACTTTTTAGAGGGCTGATTCCTGGAAGTAGTTGGTTCTTTCACCTTCCTAAAAGGCAGAGCCGTGTTAAGTGTGCTGGCCACAGGGGAGAGTCATTGTGGTTCCTCGTGGCTTCCAAGCTGCACTCCCGCAGCTCTGCTCGAACAGCAAAAGGTGGGCAGGGTGAACGTTCAGAGCCTGGCCTCTTCGCTGCTCGTCCCGCGGGGTTGTAGGGAGCACCCCAGAATGCAGGGTGGGTCCCTGTGCCTGCCTGCCTGCCTGCAGGGAGGGATCTGGCTTGCGGCCTGGGGGTTTGTGGCAGCAGCTCCTCCCAGCTCCTCCCTTTCCGCCCTGTGGAGCTCAGCTCCGTGGCTGCAGCAGTAGCCGCTCTGGCCTCTGACCAGCACAGCTGCCAAAAGGAGACGTGTGACATGGGAACTGGAGGCAAAACCATTTGGGCTGCAGGCGCCTTTGTCTTCAGTTTCAGAAGACTGATAGAAACAGGCAAATAAGTAACACAGAAAAACGATGGGTGTGGATACGGGGTGGGTCTTGATTTTTTTGCTTGTTTGCAGGGGACATGGGGGCAGAGAGGGGTGTAAAGCAGAATATTTATTTTTTAACAATGGCACTTGTTTGCCTGTTTGGCTTTAAAAGGCGATCCTTTGCTCGGAGCCCCAAACCTAGTTCCTCAGAGTAGAGTCTGGCTCCAAAGGAGTCAAGTGGACCTCATTTTTATAAAATCAGTGTCACAGGGAAAGACAGGATGAAGTCACTCACTGCGGGCGAGCTCTCCCTCAGGACCTGAACGCAGGCACTAGAGGCTCTCTCCCACCACCCCCCTCCCCTGCCCCTCCAGGTCACTCCGTCTGGGCCCATGTGCACCAGCAGCCCCAGATGGCGAGGGGTCTGTAAAAACCTACTACCACCTGTTGACTGACTCTAACGGCCTGTAGCTTGAGCTAAGTACATCATCACTTACTATGCTCCACTGAAAGGTGTTCAGAAATAATAGTCAAAAGGAAAGAGACCAGATCTTTAATGATACTTTCCATAAAACAGTTCAGGTTGGTGAAGCAGAAAAGGGATGTGATTACAACTTAAATGAAATCAGTCACTTGCACAGTTAATCCTCTCAGCATCATACAGACTAGGTTTTAGTGGAAATGATTATGTCACACACAACCATCACTCACAGAGGGCAGTCTGGAGTCCTTCACAGACCTGAGGGGGAAGGTACTGCACCCAGTGAGGTGATGCACAGACCTTGGACCACAGCATGACGCCACCCACGCCCACCCCTTCCTGTGCTATGGGCACCTTCCTGCGGCCATACGCTCATCCCTTGGGACCCATGCCCTGGATGCAGGAACGGACTTTGCTCAGGAGCTTCTCCAGGGCCTGTGTGAAGAGGCCACTTCAGCAACAGGGGGGATGTGAGAAAGTTTAGGGGACGATGGAGGTGGAAGTGGGATAAGTATATCTAAATAGACTTATGTACATACACTAAACCAATGAAGAAGAGGTTTGGCTGTAAGAAATAAATATGTCCCCAACCCCGGAAACCAAGCTGCTGAGCAGGTTCCACAGGTGAGATACACATTTAACACTTAACCAGGGCCCACATACTTTACTGGTTTTATTCTCTTACATTTGTCATCACTAGACACTGAGTAGAATACAGTGGATAAGCAAAAGTTTCTCCACCATGGAGAGAGATTTGTGTTGCCACAAACTGTTTCTGTCACCCACCTGTGTGGGAGGACTTCTGAGAAAGTTTTCTTGTTCCGAGGAGCCCTGTGACTCGGCATGAGGCCCTGCCTCAGCAATGCTCTCTGAGCAAGAAGCCACAAACATGCTAGAGACAACACGGCACAAGGGAAGAGCCCCGAAGAGCACGAAGTCAGCTTTTGAAATAGGCGTGATAAAGCTGCACAGTTAAAATTTTCAAAATACAGATAGGCACATTTACATCACTGGGGTTCAAGTGGACAGTTCACATGGGTCCAATCACTTTTCCAAAGAACCTTCATGATACCCTTCAAACGTGTCTGCTGAAGTAAAATCAAGAAATAAAAACACTACAGAATTCACAGAGGAGATGTGTTCATTTCCTAAGCCAACAGTGTTGCCTGTGTGAGGCCCACTTTCCCCAACAAAGTAGTCTAGTCTGTTGTTAAGTTCCATGCGGTATAAGGGCCACTTTCCTCCATCAACACTGCCCGAGGCTTTCTTGCTGGAGTTATAACTGCTGCCTGTCCAGAGACTAATGATTTAAGTGCAAATGTTAGAAGTTACAGCTGTGTACCTTCTAAACAAAAGAGCCTGGATTCATAGGAGCGAGATCAAAGGAGATGCACGTTTCAAGTTCAATGACATGTGGTGTTAATGCACTGATATAGTAGATCAAATTATGTGAAACCGTCATTTTTGTAGATCAAAAACAGTCAAATAGAATTTCACATGGCTCGACCTGTGTAATTTAACATTGTGAACTGTTTTAAATACATGTTTCCCTCTTAATTCTAGGCGCTCTAAGTTGTAAGACTTAAACACGATGGCAGAGCTTTTTTCTCTGGAGTGTAACTGCAGACCAGCGCTGTCTGAGAGGGTCCACACGGTGGAACTGTCCCAGACCTGGGCGGTCCTGTGCCACGTGTGGCTGCTGAGCATTTGAAATGTGGCCAGTGTGACTGGAGAACTGAATTTTTAATTTATTTTTAATTAAAATTAACATTTAACTAACCATATGTGGCCAGTGACTGCTGTATTGGACAGTGTAAGTTTAGACATAATTGTAATTTGCTTCTAGTTAAAGTATATAGCAGATGTGTTCTGCTCTGAGAAAACGTGGGATTTACCCAGCTAATATTAAAGTGGAAATAGAGCACATCTGCTCCTGCAACTGCAAATATCCAACCTAGGAGGAGAGCCACCCAACTTTCTTTTACATTCATACACTTAAGAAATTATCTGGACTATTTTTTTCTTTTAACAGAAAAACAAGAATAGCAAAAAGTCTGGTTGGCTGGCTTAACATGAAATAAATTCTGCCCCTTGTAACAACTTGTAGAGAATCGGGAAGGGAGGAAAATAATGACTGGGACAAGAAATGAACATGAAAATGTGCCTGGTCCTATCCCACAGGCCTAGCTGGAGCTCTTTCCTTTTCTCTCATTAATTTGCACATCATGCCACCAGCACCCCAAGATCCACAGGCTGGCTTGGAGCGCTTGCAGAAAGCACAGTTACCTTCATTAGATGGGATTCTGGTTCCAGATTTCAGTTTGGGTTAAATCTAAATAGTGCTGGTGCCTATTTTTTTGATTTTTTTTTTTTTTTTCTTTCGGTACGCGGACCTCTCACTGTTGTGGCGTCTCCCGCTGCGGAGCACAGGCTCCGGACGCACAGGCTCAGCGGCCATGGCTCACGGGCCCAGCCGCTCCGCGGCATGTGGGATCTTCCCGGACCGGGGCACGAACCTGTGTCCCCTGCATCGGCAGACTCTCAACCACTGCACCACCAGGGAAGCCCTTTTCTTGAAAATTTTAAAACAGACTACTAACCTCAAGAATAGAAACTCTACTTATTCAAAGTGAAAATATTTTCAATTGCTCTGCTATGAGGATAGGCCAATGAGAATTGTTAAAACTTAGACTAGTTTAGTTTCCTTCTGTGGAAGCAGACCCCACAGTATTACCCGACGTTTAGGTGATGGTCAGAATCAACTCTGGAGGATAGCATCTCAACCTCAGGTGACCAAGTAAGAAGTAAGACCACAGTGGACATGCAGTTAATCCCGGTGCTACAACTAACAGGGAATTAGGTGCTGACTCTAAAAGGCGAACAGAAGCTATGGTTTCATGGCAGTGGATAAATAACACCTGGATAACATGTAGCCGAGTCATGGAATTTTTTAAACACTTAAGTGTATTTGGCCTTACTGGGAGTTTTCAGTACCCCTATCTCCATGAAAATACCCCAAAACAAACAAAAAAAAGTAATTCTTGAATTTGCAATATAGTTACAACTGAACCAACAAATTTAGTTAGTTAGTGCTGATAAACAGCAGCTCTGAGAGATACGAAGAGCAGCAGTTACCTGGTCTACTTAATGATGCCCTTTCAGTTATCTTTTACAAGCAAAGAGAATGATTACTGAGCAGTCACTGAAATCTCGTGGGCCACAAATTACGTGCACACGTGATCCCTGATTTTGAGCCAACCTGATCTCCATTACAGCTGTGAGAAGGCAGCAGGTGGTTACGTTGCTCTTCACGATCAGGAACGTATCTTCCTTTCAGCACGTGAGAGTAACAATGCATTGATGTAAATGTGCCTCAAAGTGAGAACTGAACATTAATATAAAAAAGTCAAATAGAACTAAGTTCTTGAAACTACATATAAAAACTGAATTATTACAACTAAAGCAGCAAATCAAAACATCTGCTGAGGTTTTCTGGTAGAACTAAAAAAAAAAAATTAGTTGGTGCCCATGTTCAATAAGTCACTACCATTGACAAAATAAAACTAAACCCCAAATAGGAAACTGAAAAGTGCATAATGAAATTAAATCTTGGATCAAGTATTTATGGAAAACTGGAAATGTTTGTCCGGTATAGTTGACGAATAATGATTTGGAGGAGGTATTAAAGTTTATCCGACCCAGCTTTGGCCTGGCGTTCCACGTAAAAGAGGATGTAGGCCTTGGCCTTCACAACGGTGTCTTCATCTGTCAGTGTCACAGTACTGTCATTGAAATGGAACCAGCGACCTTCGTGAGTTGCATATGCTGTGTAATGTCCAGAACCGACCCTGTAAGGAAAGGTCAGATGATCAAAGAAAAAGACGACAGAAATCACAAAAGAATCTATGCAACCATATAAATTATCAGGTAGACAATAAATTTTAATAAGTACTGTAATTAGAGGATAAATCCGAGAGGCTTGTAATTTAAGATAGTTGCTTGGGCTCATGTGTTCATCTTCTCAAAACTCATTGAAATGATGACAAGGAATATTACTGACACTGGAAAACAGGGAAGAGTGCCATGGACTGACCAGAAATTGAGGATTTTTTAGGACACACAAAGCAGTGTTTACATGGTACTGGATTAACAGAGAAACCAAACAGTGAAGGAGCTCTCAACCTAACAAGCAGAGGTCAAAGCCTATGGAAACATGGAAAACTGAGGACCAGGAAGTCTTAGAGGAAACCTGAGCATAAGACAGAAATCTGCCTCCAGGGAAGCACTTTCCCTCCTACTTTGGCCATCAAAGGCTTTTCTCTCTCAGCATGACCCACCCACTCACACATGGAGCCCCAGAGTCAGTCCTCCTGGGTAGGAGAAAGCCTGTAGATAGAATAGAGACCTTCATAAACTGCTAGAAAAAACCCTTACAACATTTCCATGAGCTGAAGACATCAGACTTAAAGAGTGCCCCTGTCAACTACCAAAGAGAAATGCATCTGATGTAATTTCTCAAGTCCAAAGAAAAAAACAAACAAATGAGAATCAGACACGTAGTGGACTTGTCACTTATAACTATGAATGGTGAAGTCAGTGGAGCAATGTCTACAAAGTTCAGAGGGAAAAGGATTTTCAACATGGGTTGCGGTTTGCCAAGCCTGAAGGTAAAACTGCCATTCTCAAGCGGACCAGAAATAAGGTATATACCCCAATACAGACCTTCAGGGGGAAAAAGTAATCGAGAATGTCATTTAACAAAATAAGAAATGCACCTTTAAAGTAGATGACATGAAGTAAAGTTATTCTAAATGATCCCCCATTTCCCCCCATTTAAATATCAACTGGCCAAGGAAATCAACAGCTTTGGAGTAAAGACTACTCAGGATTTTGTGAACAATAGACTGGTTCCGAATGCTGGGCTCAAATGAAACCTTCTCCATTTTGGTTTCATGTGCCTTCTCTTTGTGCTTTGCAACGTCCTCAGGAATATTCTTTCCCACCAAGACTGAAGGAAAGTTCTACTTCACCCACTTTAATGAATCTGAATCTAGTATAGGGAGTCTGGGGCGAGTTATCGGGAGTGGTACAAAATTGTGGGTCTTCACTCTGTATTCCCAGCCCTGAGAAGCCTGCTGGCATACTCACCCGGAACCATGGTGCACCACCACAGCAGCAAGGTCATAGAGGCAGTTCTCCGGGCCACTGTTCTCAGGCTACAGAACAAGGGAGAAGGTATCCCAGGACTGAGTTAGGAGCAGTGGTCAATGACATCGGCATCTCCCTACCTCAGTGACCTCTACCCTCTCTTTGGGAAGACTTAATTTTACCGAAGAGCCATCTTTTCACCAGGCTAACAAAGGTAATTACCTTACCTCTAGTAAGTAGCATTTCATGTCTAGGCCTCTCAGGGGAAATTCTACATATGTATCAACTTTGTTTCTTAAATATGCTGTCCAATGAAATCTTTTCAAATGTAAGCATAGCACCTGGATGAGAGATAAAGACAAAAATTATAAACAATTTACCTTTCAATCAAAATTAGCTACTTGGTACTAATGTCTCTGAAATAATATTTTAGGTGGCCTACCAGCTTTTCTTTGGATTCTTGATATTAGTTCCTTCCATGAATACCTTATTGTGGTACTGTGATTTGTAACAGTATGTTTTTAGTCTTTGTCTCCTTTCCTGGCACAGAGCTTCTAAAAGCCTTGAAATTTTCTAAGTGAGGAGAGCCATGAAGGTGTCTTTTTATGTTAATGAGGTATGGGCGCTTGTTGCCAAAAGAACCAAAAAATCAAGAGATGAGAGAGTTGGGAGCTTTCAGTCCCACCCCCCGACCCCCGAGAGGGGAGAGGGACTGGAGTCTGAATGATCAGCAGTGGCCAGTGATTTAATCAGTCAGCCTGTGTAATGAAGCCCAAAAGCACAGGGTTTGGAGAGCTTCTAGGCTGGGGAAGCAGAGCTCTTCCACGTGCCACCACGCTGGGCCCCAAACTCCATGAGGACAGAAGCTCCTTTGTTCAGGACTTTGCCCTTTGTATCTCTTCATCTGGTTGTTGATTTGTATCCTTTAACATCCTTTGTCATAAATTGGTAATCTAGTGAGCAAACGGATTTCCTGCGTTCTGTGAGCTGCTCTAGCAAGTTAATAGAACCCAAGGAGGGGGTCATGGGAACCTCTGATTTATAACTAGTCGGTCACAAGGAGGGGTAACAATGTGGACTTGCGACTGGTGTCTGAAGTCCAGGGAAAGGGTCACAGGAACCCTCAATCTGTAGTTTGTAGTTGAGAAGCATAATGCACAAAGTAACAACCTGGGCTTGTGACTGGCGTCTGATGGGGAGGGTGATCTTGTGGGACTGAGCCCTTACCCTGTGGAATCTGATTCTAACTCTGGGTAGATAGTGTTAGAATTGAGTTCAATTGTAGGACACCCATGGTGTCAGAGAAGTGCTTGTTAGTGGCGTGGTGGGAAAAAAAAAAACCTCCACACATTGTAAATAGTGATTAGGACATATTTACTTATGAATTCTTAAAGGGTGTATTTAGTTTTACTGAAACCCTTAGAGACCAATGCAGAACAGATTCTATAAGTATAAAGTTAGAAAAATAATTTGTCTTCCAGTCAATCGTAAGCATTTTTTCCCTCAAAATTGCATTATAATTTGAAACTCAACACTTACCTTGGGTAGTTTCTGAATCCAAAACTTTTTAGTGGACTTTTGTTTCTTCTTGCACTTGTGGCACATATATAACTCTGTCTCATCAAGTTCTTCTAAGTCGGTAAAACTGCGAAGACAATCTAAAACCAAATTGATTTGGGCAGCATTAAAACAGGGTGTCTTTAAGAGAGGCGGTGTACTGTAGGAAGAAAAGACTATGAACTTCGAAGCTGAACAACTCAGGTTCAAATCTCAGCTTTATTAGCTATATGACCTTAGAAGGGTCAGCCTTTCACAGTTGCAAAATGGAGACCAAAAAAAAGAAGTCTACATTGAAGGACTGTTGTGAGGACGAGAGATAGCATGTATGATGTGTGCCTGGCGCCATGTCTAATGATCTGATGATGACCAACTCATGACAGATGGCAGTACTGTAGTTGGGTTTCCCATTACTAGTCAAAGAATTAACCTGGATAATTCTGATAAAAATGGTTCCCTAATGAAATCAAGGTTCACAGAGCAATTTTCTCTCAGTATCTTACATAACAAAGGACAAAGCCCCAAGTTCATAAAAACGTCAAGTTTACCTCAAACATTTTCAGTCATAACTTAATAAACATACAGTACAGAAGGCTGCATTATTGACCTTCCTATATTATATATCTCCAGTGAATCCTTTGCTTCACACACTACTCAGAATCCCCTAGATAAACCACGGCTATATTTTTTTCTTTTAAAGATTTCACTGTGTAATCTGGGATTTGGTAAACTTTGGCTCCAAGCTAAATCCAGCCACCTGGTTTTGTAAATAAAGTTTGGAACCCACTCATTTATATACTCTGTGGCCGCTTTTACACTACAACAGCAGAACTGAGTAGCTGTGACGTAGACCTTATTTGCTGTAAAGCCTAAAAACATTACCATCTGGCCCTTTATAGAAACAGTTTGCCAAAGCTTGGCAAAATTAGTAAAATATTCAGAAGTCCATGTATCAATAAAATGTATGTATTGTTCTGTGAGGATAAATATATTATTTCTTTAGAGAAATATGAATGCCTATGTACTCACCACTGCAGTAAGGAACTGGACTCTAGTACTTGAGAAGCCAGAGTTTATGTGAACGGCATCCCCTAGAGTTGTTCAGGGGGCAGCCTGCCTGGCAGCCCTGTTAAGAGCTTCCTGAGTGCCTCATCCCAGTCAACCCTCCCCCAACCCCAGAAGCAGTCATTATCCTGACCTCCGTTTAATCATTTCTTGGCTTGTCTTTATGTTCCATATGTATGTATTTATGCATCTTTAAACAATATACTGTTTCGTTTGAGAAGCTGGGTTGCAAGCACAGACCTAGCGTATAAGGAAAGGCAACACTCGCTGTGCTCAGAGTCTTCAAGTCATAGTCAGCCTTGGCACTAGAGAGAGTGTGAGAAAGAGCCCGTTCAGGGGAGTTAGTGGGGCAAGGTCTAGCAGGGATTAGATGTGGGCCGGGTTCTACACAGGCCAGCATGCAGCCAGAGGCCCATGTACTCTTCTTTTTTTAAGCATACTTTATAAAGCATAACATATTATATTAGCTTCAGTTGTATAATATAATGATTCAGTATTTGTATATATTGTAAAATCACAATAAATCTGGTTACCTTTAGTCACCATATGTTTCAAATTTTTTTCTTCTGATGAGAACTTTTAAGATTTACCCTCTTAGTGACTTCCAAATATGCAATACAGTATAAACTACAGTTAGCGTGCTATACATTACATCCCTGTGACTTTATAAGTGCAAGTTTGTACCTTTTGACCCATTTTACCCACCCTCCACCCCGATTCTGGCACCCATCAATCTGTTCTCTTTATCTATGAGCTTGTTTTTTAGATTCCATACATAAGTGAGATCATATGGTATTTGTCTTTCTCTGTCTGACTTATTTCACTTAGCACAATGCCCTCAAGATACATCCATGTTGTCCCAAATGGCAAGATTTCATTCTTTTTCTTTTTTTTTTTCTTTTTGGCTCCGTTCGGTCTTCATTGCTGCACGCGGGCTTTTCTCTAGTTGTGGCGAGCGGGGGCTACTCTTCATTGTGGTGCGCGGGTTTCTCGTTGTGGCAGCTTCTCTCGTGGAGCATGGGCTCTAGGCGCGCAGGCTTCAGTAGCTGCAGCACGTGGGCTCAGTAGTTGTGGCTCTCAGGCTCTAGAGCACAGGCTCAGTAGTTGTGGTACATGGGCTTAGCTGCTTCGCAGCATGTGGGAATCTTCCCAGACCAGGGATCGAACCCGTGTCCCCTACGTTGGCAGGCGGATTGATAACCACTGCACCACCAGGGAAGTCCCAAGATTTCATTCTTTCTCAAGGCTGAATTATATTCCATTGTGCATGTGAGTGAGTGTGTGCGTGAGTGTGTGTGTGTACCACGTTTTCTTTACCCATTCACCCATCAGTGGACACTTAGGTTGCTTCCATATCTCGGCTATTTGTAAATAATGCTGCAATGAACATGAGGGTGCATACATCTTTTGAAATTAGTGTTTTTGTTTTCTTTGGATAAATACCCAGAAGTGGAATTGCTGGATCATATGGCAGTTCTATTTTTAATTTTTTGAGGAACCTCCATACTGTTTTCCATAGTGGCTGCACCAATTCACAACCCCCACTAACAGTGTATGAGGGTTCCCTTTTCTCTACATCCTCCTCAACACTTGTTATTTGTTGTCTTCTTGATGACAGCCATTCTTACAGGTGTGAGGTGGTATTTCATTGTGGGTTTGATTTTTATTTCCCTGATAATGATGTTGAGCATCTTTTCATATACCTGTTGGCCCTCTGTATGTCTTCTTTGGAAAAATGTCTATTCAGGTCTTCTGCCCATTCCTTCAGCTGACTTTTTAAAAATTTATTATTTAATTTATTTATTTTTGGCTGCGTTGGGTCTTTGTTGCTGTGTGCGGGCTTTCTCTAGTTGCGGCGAGCAGGGTCTACTCTTCATTGCTGTGAGCGGGCTTCTCATTGCGGTGTCTTCTCTTGTTGCAGTTGCAGAGCACAGGCTATAGATGCACGGGCTTCAGTAGTTGTGGCACGTGGGCTCAGCAGTTGTGGTGCACGGGCTTAGCTGCTTTGTGGCATGTGGGATCTTCCCGGACCAGGGCTCAAACCCGTGTCCCCTGCATTGGCAGGTGGATCCTTAACCACTGCACCACCAGGGAAGCCCCCTTCAGCTGACTCCTGAACAACGCAGGTTTAAACTATGCAGGTCCACTCATACAGATATTTTTTAGTAGTAAATACTACAGTACTACATGGTCTGTGGTTGGTTGAATACATGGATGCAGAAGAACTGTGGACATGAAGGGCCGACTATAAATTATACGTGGACTAACCCCCTCATTGCTCAAGGGTCGACTGCAATCAGATTGTTTTTTTCTGCTATTGAGTTGTGCAAGTGTTTTATATATTTTGGATATTAACCCCTTATCAGATATATGATACAAATTCAGTAGGTTGCTTTTTCATTTTGTTGATGATTTCCTTTGCTGTGCAGAAGCTTTTTAGTTTAATGTAGTCCCACTTGTTTTTGTTGCCTTTGCTTTTGGAGTCAGATCCAGAAAATCATCACCAAGACTGAGGTCAAGGAACTTACTGTGTATGTTTTCTTCTAGGGGTTTTAGGGTTTCAGGTCTTACATTCAATTCTTTAACCCATTTTGAGTTAATTTCTGTGTAAGATAGTGGTCCAGTTTCATTCTTCTACATATGGCTGTCTGGTTTTCCAAACACCATCTATTGAAGAGACGGTCCTTTCCCCATTGCATATTCTTGGCTCCTTTGTCATAAATTAACTGACCACGTATGCATGGTTTATTTCTGGGTTCTCTATTCTGTTCCATTGATCTATGTGTCTGTGTTTGTGCCAATACCGTACTGTTTTGATGACTAGCTTTGTAGTATAGTTTGAAATCAGGAAGCATAATACCTCCAGCTTTGTTCTTTTTTTCTCTAGATTGCTTTGGCTGTTTGGGGTCATTTGTGATTCCATACAAATTTTAGAATTATTTGTTCTAGTTCTGTGAATAATGACATTGGTATTTTCGTAGGAATTGTAATGAATCTGTAGATTGTCTTGGGTATTATGGTCACTTTAACCATTGATTCTTCCAATCTGTGAGCACAGTATATCTATATCTTTCCATCTGTTCGTGTCACCTTCAATTTCTTGTATCACTGTCTTGTAGTTTTCCAAGTACACGTCTTTTATTTTAATTAATTTTTATTGGAGTATGGTTGCTTTACAATGTTGTGTTAGCCTCCACTGCACAACAAAATGAGTCAGCCATACACATGCAGATATCCCCTCCCTTTTGGACTTCCCTCCCATTTAGGTTACCACAGTGCATTAGGTAGAGTTCCCTGTGCTATACAGTATGTCTATTTTATAGATAATATCAATGATGTATATGCAAGTACACGTCTTTTACATCCTTGGTTGGATTTATTTCTAAGTATTTTATTCTTTTTGATGTGGTTGTAAATGGTATTGTTTTCTTAATTTCTCTTTCTGATAGCTCATTGTTAACATATAGAAATGCAACAGGTTTTTTGTACGTTGATTCTGTATCCTGCAACTTTACTGAATTTGTTTAGTTCTAACAGTTTTTTGGTGGAGTCTTTGGCATTTTCTATATATAATATGTCATCTGCAAATAGTGACAGTTTCACATCTTCCTTTCTAATTTGAATGCCCTTATTTCTTTCTCTTGCCTAACTGCTCTGGCTAGGTCTTCCAATACTATGTTGAATAAAAGTGACATAAGTGGGCATTCTTGTCTTGTTCCTGATATTAGAAGAAAAGATTTCAGCTTTTCACCATTGAGTATGATGTTAGCTGTGGACCTGACATATATGGCCTTTATTATGTTGAGGTGTATTCCCTCTATACCCACTTTGAGAGTTTTTAGCATACATGGATGTTGAATTTCCTCTAATCTTTTTCTGCGTGTATAGACATGATCATATGATTTTTATCCTTCATTTTTGTAAACGTGGTGTAACACATTGGTCGACTTGGCAGATGCTGAACCATTGTTGTATCCCTGAAATAAATCCTACTTGATCATTGGTATATGATCCTTTTAGTGTATTGTTGAATTGG